TACTGCAGAAGCCTGATAATCACCCATTCATTCAAATCAGGTGTGTTTGAGCAGAGAAAAAAATAAAACATGCAGGGCTGCGGCCCTCGAGGACCAGGATTGCCCACCCCTGTTTTAAAGCAAGGGTGTTCAGTTCTGGTCCTCGAGGTCCACGTTCCTGCACGTTCTACTTTGACACACCTGCTTCTCTGACTGAATTAACTCTTCAAGTTCTGCAGAAGTCTGTTAATCATCCATTCATTCAAACCAGGTGTGTTGGAGCAGAGGAGCCTCTAAAACAGGTTGGCATCAAGGACCAGGATCAAACACTTCTGTTCTAAAGCAATAGTTTCTATTCTAAGTCAGTAGATTAGAAGAACAGGGCCAACAGGGAGAGAACTCCAAACCAACAATTCACAGACATTTTATTCTCATTTATCATCTTCTTTTCTCTAAAACAACACTTTTTACAAATAGATGAGAGAGAAAAACAAACGAACCTAAACCTAAAATCTAACAGATGACCAGGATTTAGAACAAACTATCTTAGATGAAGAAATAAATAAGAAAAGAGAAATTATGTTTCACTGAATTTAAACGTTTTGTAAAGATTTTTGACTAAATCCCAACCAGTGTTCCATCACCAAATCAAAAGCCTATAAACAAGCCAACAAACAAGACCAGCTCAACTCGGCACAACAAACACTCTGATGTCCAACTCCTCCAGAAACGCCTGAACACAACACGTTTAACACTTCAGCATAAAAAACAAATCTGTTCTTTAAAGCAAATCACATCATAATGACCAACAAATGCCATCAAAAACAAAACAAACTAAGACAAGTGAGTCCAAGGCAACACAGAATATTTTTAGAGAAGTCATTTAAAAAACGAAGAACAAACTTCAGAAATAAACTGATAAAAACAAAATGTTATTTTCTCTTTGTAGCTCTGAGACCACCGGTTTTTCCTGAAATTACACATCTTTTTCAATCTTTTAGGAGAAATCCCCAATTTCTGAGAGCTGCAGTGTTTTACAATAAGATGTTCTTAACCCATCAAGAGATGGAGCATCTGTTGAGGGTATTTTCAGGGATGTGGGTATCTTGCAGGAGCAGGACAGTGAATTGAATTAAAGTTTGTGTTCACAGTAATGATATCAGACAGTGTGACTCATTGATGTCATTTTATTAGATTTTAGACAACAGAAGAGCAGGAGGGACAAAAACTCAGTCCTGGGTGTATCTCCAGGGAGCAGCAGTGATTAAATATATGTACAAACTGCTGCTTTTTGATTTTTTTTGACACAGAAAAGATAAAAGCTGCTTTTTCCTAACTAATTTAAAGAATTTATGACCACAATCTCAATTTGGACCAAAAATTTGAAAAATCTAAAAGATAATTTTCCTTCCTGTTATTATTTCTAACCTGCAGGATTCTATAAAAAAAGACAAAAGATGATTTTTAACAATTTCCTAAAATTGAGTGTCAGAAAGAAACACAAATATATGTGTGGTTCAGTCAAGCAGAAAATACACACGAGCTAAGAGAGTAAAAGCAGACAAGTACCAAAAGAAAGAAAGAAAATAAAGAAAAAACATCAGTTACAGAAATGGTTTATTTTCCCCTGTTTTTCTAGCATTTTTGGTGCTTTCACCTGTGTACACCTACCCTTGCTCCTCCCACACACACCTGATCCTCATGTCTCCTCAGGTGTTTCCAATCTGTTCCTCATTATCTCACCTTTATTCTCCGTCCTGTCCTAACACAGGTGTTCGTTCATTGTGCTGAATCCCTCAGTCTTGTGGTGTTTCATCTGTGAAACAAGTGTTTTCTCCTATTGCTGCCCCATCTGCACCTTTTTGTAAATAAAACCTGCTTGTGTTTTTAGACCCTCCAAATCCTGACTGTTTCTGGTGTCACTCATCAAATCCTCACAGATGCATCCAATGATCATTTCCTGAAAGTGTCAACGAACTCCCTCCAGTGGTTCATGAGATATTTTAATAACAGACTGATAAACAAACAAAAGCTGAACTGTGATTTTATAGGTCTTTTTGCTTTATTAGGTATTCTCTTTTAGTTTTGTTATATTTTCTGTGATTTAATGCAGTTCATTTTGTTTTCATTTCCTTTGAGCCATCATTTATTTCTCCTCAGAGTTTTTGCTCCGTCAGTCTGCCTGTTACACCGTCTACACCTGCACCCCGTCTCTTCAGGTTCAGCCATCTCCCATCTAGACACGAGCAAAAATGAATCGTGTGCGATTGATCGTCAGAAAACTGTCACGGTTAATATTTGTCACTTTACGATTACTGCGATTAGTGTTGTATCTTTGTGTGTGATGGACTCTCACTATCAGGAGTGCCTGTGAGCTCATGACATAACAAATATGGCATAATGCTGCAGGGAGAAACTAACCCGAACTTTAATATGAACTTGTTGAATCACCTGAAACACCTCTGTAAAGTGGAGTACAACAGGCCACAACATCAGCTACAGCTAACTCTTCTCCGAATGTTGGAAACAAAACTACTCAGCCAAGAATCCACGATGCTCTCAGTCAATCCATCCCTTACGACGAGTAGTGAAGTAAGCTGGAAGGAGGTAATGCAGGGCAGGGAGTGGCTGTTAAAGGGAAGACGTTAGTATAACTTTAGAACATAAGGTGCAATTGCCATCTGTTAGTCATCATATTAATTTCTATTGGCTAAACACCATAAATAATAGTGATTAATTAGTATTTTTGACAATGTCGCCCAACCCTATTTCCATCTCCTCTTTCACCATCAGTCCATGTATACAGTACATAGCACAAAAAGTAAGATCAACTGTGTTTGGTAGATTATTTCTTAGTTGTAACAATGCTTTTTGGCAATAAATCTTATATGATGTGCCCCCAGGTGACGACTGGCAGCACCTACAACAGCAAAATTAGCTGTTCGACAGAGAAGATTTGGCAAATTTTTCATGTGTGCAACCCACACACTCAGCTTTACTGCTCATCCCAGAAATGCGTGTTCTTTACAAATGTGGCACCATTTAAAAGGGAAATTACCAGGCTTTCTAACAGTCTACGTTTTATTGCCAAAAAGAATTGTTACAAAAATAAATAATCTAACTAAAACAAATGTCCTTCCATTGTGTGCTAAATTTAGTTCCTCAGCCCGCATTTATTCCTTAGCAGAGCATTGCACATTATTCACGCTATGTCCTGTGGTTCCTTGTGTCTCATTGTGCCTAACCTCAGTTTGTAGTTTATTTTGTTTTGAAACAAAGTTTACTTTTCTACCTCTAAAAACTGTGACAGAAAACAAGTGAAAAAGCATCTAAACAACAAAGAAAAATGTTAAAGACCTAAAAAAGCCTGAGCAACAGAGTGAGGCAACTGTTAAAAGTTTATAAGAAAGTCTCTCCCTGAGCTGCCACCTTCTCGTGGTGGAGAGGTTTGAGTGTCTCAATGATCCTAGGAGCTATGTTGTCAGTGTCTTCATGCCCCCGGTAGGGTCACCCAAGGCAAACAGGTCCTAGGTGAGGGATCAGACAAAGCGCAACCCAAAGACCCCTTATGATGAGTACAATAAATGGATTCAGTGTTCCCTCGCCCTGACACGGGTCACCGGGGCCCCACTCTGGAGCCAGGCCTGGAGGTGGGGCACGTTGGCGAGTGCCTGGTGGCCTGGCTTTCGCTCATGGAGCCCAGTCGGGTACAGCCCCAAAAGGAGACGTGGGCCCCCCCTCCCATGGGCTCACCACCTGTGGGAGGGGCCAAAGGGGTCAGGTGCAATGTGTGCTGGGCAGTCTGATCCTCGGCTACAGAAGCTGGCTCTAGGGACATGGAATGTCACCTCTCTGGTGGGGAAGGAGCCTGAGCTGGTGTGTGAGGTTGAGAGGTTCTGACTAGATATAGTTGGACTCACCTTGACACACTACTCTGGCTCTGGAACAAGTCTCCTCCAGAGGGGTTGGACACTCTTCCACTCTGGAGTTGCCCATGCTGAGAGGCACCGAGCAGGAGTGGACATACTTATTGCCCCCCATCTCGGTGCCTGTATGTTGGGGTTCACCCCGGTGAATA